TTAGTTATTCTCTGAAACTCCCAAATTAGATTCATCCCATTTTCAAATTTGATCTTTCATTTGCTACCATGCTCATTGGTTCCAATTTGATTCAGGTTTTGGAGAGTCATTCTACTGACAGACACATTTCTTTCTAATGTTTTTTTGGGTTGGAAAGAATTAAAAATACTTTAATTAAAATACATTTTTAAAGAATTGGTAATTTACAATTGAATAAATAGGTATCACACACTTCCATCTAAAAAAAAAAGTGCTGACATCAATAATCTGCAAGTAAATTTTAATTGATTTTAATCAATTGATTTTGAAAATTGAAATCAATTTTAATTGATTTTTCCATTAAAATGTCCCACCCCTGCCTAATCTGATTGGGAAAGAGAGTCAATCATGTGCTACTTATAATTAAAGACTGAAACATCTTTCTTACTAAAGAATGGCCTGCTCCACAATTTCTTTATATCTTTAGTTTCTTTGGAAGTTTCTCAAGACAATGTTGACTTAGATAATAATTCTATTAGTAAGCCTGATGGCCTGATAGTTTTTTTACTAGTTTCTAATAAGTTATTCATCAGAGATAAAGCTGTTCATCTTATTAGGGCAATGTAGTCCATATAAAGAATACTAAACAAATTACTAAGAGTATTACTATAAAGCCCATCTCTTGCATCATTTCATTATTGTAATTGTTCAGCAAGCAGGTATCCCAAGACTCAGGCACACTATAGTTCAGTGTTTCTCAAACTTGGCAACTTTGAGATGTATGGACTTCAACTTCCAGAATTTTGAAAGCTTGCTGGAGCTGAAGTCTAGATAGCATAAAATTGCCAAAGTTAAAAAACGCTGCCTTTGTTGCTGGAAACTCATTTCCCATCTCTTATGCTATGCTATGTGAAAATAAGGCTACAGACCCTCAACTATTAGCATCCAAAATATATTAAGAGCAGAGTTCTGTGTTCAACCAAGGACTTGGATCTAATTCCCTCCTCATCCTCATACAGCAATATGGACAGCTGCATTTGAAAGTCTTTCTTACTACCTGAATTCTTTTATACAGTTATGACACAATACAATTATAGCCGAGATTTTTAGGATCCCTTTATGTTGTCTGAAAAAAATTGAAGATATTTTAAATTTTCTATTGAAATGAATAGCATTTAAAGAGTGTTTAATAATGACAGAAATTGGTCCTGTGCTTCATTACAACTCCCAGAAGTACTTGACTGCATTTGAAGTCCAATATCTGGAATATAGTTAGTGAAGTCTATGTTTCTGAAATCTCCTAGCACTGAAAGGTAAGCCCTGAAAAAGAGAGAATATACCCAACTTTTACCAAATTTTTGGATAATTAAAGTTTTAAGTTTTTAGATCTTGTTGACATCACTCCAAAGCTATAGAATGCCCTACCCCACTGAACGTTGGCCCTCTCATTCCCAAACTTCAAAAAAAAGTACCGTATTTTCTGGTGTATAAGATGACTGGGCGTATAAGACGACCCCCCGAATTTTCCTGTTAAAATATAGGGTTTGGGCTATACTCGCCGTATAAGACTACCCCTCTTCCAACGCACAACAAATAAAAATTAAAAAAACATCAACTGGCTCACCCACAATGTAAAAGCAGCTGTGCTAGACCCAAAATGGCTCCTGAAACAAGCAGGAAACTCACACAGCCACAAAAAGCCCCCCCCCCAAAAAAACAACTTTCACACTTTACACACACACAACACAACACAACACAACTGGCTCATCCACAATGTAAAAGCAGCTGTGCTAGACCCAAAATGGCCCCTGAAACAAGCAGGAACCTCACACAGCCACAAAAAGCCCAAAAATCCAACTTTCACACTTTACACACACAAAATTCCACATACAGCTTTGTGAGATTTTGTGTGTTTGTGTAGTTAGAGTGAAACACTACAGAAACATACTAAATCTCAGAAAGCTGCACAAATATTATTTTATTTTATTTTATTTTTATTTTTATATGAAAGCTAAATTTAAAACTTCCTAAGCTTTAAATGGCTAGGTCTAAAAATGAACAACTAAAAAAACCCCCAATTAACTATTTTTTTTTAAAGAACCCAAAGGGGAAAAAAACTTACCCAATAGAACAGGGGTCTCCAACCTTGGCAACTTTAAGACTTGTAGACTTCAACTCCCAAAATTCCTCAGCCAGCTTTGTTTTGCTGGCTGAGGAATTCTGGGAGTTGAAGTCCACAACTCCCTGCCGGCTTGATTGCAGGCAGGGAGTTGCTTGCTGATGGAATGGATTCAGGCAAGCGAAGCAAGGCAAGCAGCTAAGGCAGTGGTTCTCAACCTTCCTAATGCCGCGACCCTTTAATACAGTTCCTCATGTTGTGGTGACCCCCAACGATAAAGTTATTCCTAAAACCATCAAAAATATGTGTCTTCCGATGGTCTTAGGCCAGGGGTCCCCAACCTTTTGGACCTCAGGGACCACCAACTTCATAATTTTAAATTTCGCGGACCACTAATACGAATCCAGTGCGCCGCTTGCTGAAGCACCTGGACTCCCAGTACAGGATGGGGTCCTTCAGGCACTCTCCCTCCTCTCTGTCTCTCTCTCTCTGTCTCCCACTCTTTCTCTCTCATTCTCTCTTTCTCTCTCTCTCATTTTCGCTTTCTCTTTCTCTCTCCCTCTCTTTCTTTCTCTCCCACTCTTTCTCATACTCTCTTTCTCTCTCCCCCTTTCCCCCACTCTCTCATTCTCTTTCTCTCTCCCTCCCTCTTCCTCATTCTTTCTTTCCCCCACTCTTTCTCTCTCCCCCTCTCTCATTCTTTCTCCCTCCTCTTTCTCATTCTCTTTCTCTCCCACTTTCTCTCTCATTCTTTCTCCCCCCTTTCTCCCACTCTTTCTCTCTCCCCCTTTCTCTCTCGCCCCACTCTCATTCTTTCTCTCTGTCCCCCTTTCTCTCCCCCCCACTCTTTCTCTCTCCCCCTCTTTCTCTCTCTCTCCCCACTCTTTCTCTCTCATTCTCTCTCTGATTCTTTGATTCTCTTTGATTCTGTCTCTTTCTCTGTCTCTCATTCTCTCTCTCTCTCTCACTCTCTCTCTCTGATTCTGTCTCTTTCTCTCTTTCTCTTTCATTCTGTCTTTCTCTCTCTTTCATTCTTTGTCTCTTTCTCTCTGTGTCTCATTCTGATTCTCTCTCTCTCATTCTCTCTTTCATTCTTTGTCTCTTTCACTCTCTCTGTCTCACTCTGATTCTCTCTCTTTCTCTCTCATTCTCTCTCATCTCATGGGCCAGCCAGTGTCTTGGGGCTGAGAGGAAGTCAAGCATCTCCCTGAGAGACTGAGGGCCGGAAGAAGTGTGGGAGCGAAGCACTACTTGAACTTGTGCAGCATGAGCATTCGCCTTGGTATATTTGCGCCAGCCGATGGCCAAGGCAGCCCTCATCTCTCTGCTGAAAGTGCAGCATCAGGATTCTGCCTTGGTATATTTGTGGCGCAAGGCAGCCTTTGTTTCCTGCTGCTTGGGACTCAGAGCGGTAAATGGTGACTGGTTCGGGGAGCAGCTGGATTTTGCTCTCCATTGCGGACGCCAGATCAGCCCCCTGCAAGATCTCATCTTTCGAGGAACGCTCCCTGAACTGGCACTGGAAACTTTGGTCGGGCTCCTCAAGAGACAAGAGCTTGCAGGGGGCCAATCTGGCATCCACAATGGAGAGCAAAATCCGACTGCTCCCCGGACCAGTCACCATTTACCGCTCCGAGTCCCAAGCATCAGGAGATGAGGGCTGCCTTGCGCCACTGGCTGGCACAAATATACCAAGGCGGAATCCTGATGCCGCTCTTACAGCGGAGAGAAGAAGCCGGATTTTGCTCTCCATTGCAGACACCAGATCGCCCCCCTGCAAGCTCTCCTCTCTCAAGGAGCCCAACCAAAGTTTCCAGCCCCGCTTCAGGGAGCACTCCTCGAGAGACGAGAGCTTGCAGGGGGCCAATCTGGCATCTGGATTAGAGAGCAAAATCCAGCTGCTCTCCGGATCAGACGCCATTTACCACTCTGAGTCCCAGGCAGCAGGAGAGGAGGGCTGCCTTGCACCACTGGCTGGCACAAATATACCAAGGCGGAATGCTGTTGCCGTACAAATGAAAGTAGTGCTTCACTCCCACAGCTTCCAGCCATCGCAAACGCCGCTTCTTCCCGCTTCTGCCGCCCCCTCACCCACCGCCACAACAGCACCATTCATTCCAGATGGCGAGGGCTGCGCTCATTTTTCTGTATTGCATCACCTGCAAAAATGCAAAAATACAAAAATTTCTCCGCGGACCACCAAAGGACCACCGGTTGGTGACCACTGTCTTAGGTGACCCCTGTGAAAGGGTTGTTTGACCCCCAACCACTGAGCTAAGGTAAGCAAGCTGGAGGAGGAAAAGTTTTTCTCTTCTCCATGGCTCTGGAGATCCTAGCTGAGTTGCCTGATTAGCAGATCGTCAGAGCTTGGATCGCCAGAGCCATTTAAGGCTCGTCAGAGCCTTTCGGGCTGGTCTGCCTGGTTACAGGAGAATGACACCTGGTGTATAAGACAACCCCTGACTTTTGAGAAGATTTTCATGTGTTAAAAAGTCGTCTTATATGCCAGAAAATACGGTATCTAAACTTTTTTTAAAAAAATGGTCTTTGAAATCCAAAGCCCAGCTGATAATCTTTATTTATATAGATTTATTGTCATCGGGCTCCTTTATTGGGGATGACCTATGTACTTTTTTTTTTTTTTTGCAGTTTAGACATTCTTCAAATAAGTAAGTTCAGGTGTCTTGCATAAAAATGTAAACTTTTGGTCAATTTAATTCTAGCTAAAAATATTACACTATCGTAAATATGGTTGATGCAAACGTGTATTATAAAACATTGTGTAATCATCTTTAGTATATGATGATTCAAATTCAAGCTGCAATTCCATATTTGATTTCAAATAGTTCTGATATAAATTATCAAGAGACACATAAATCATTGCAGTATAAATCTGACAATACCATCCACAAAATTGAGATTGAATAGAGAAACACATATTCATACAATAAACACATTCATATTAAATGTTATTTCTTAAAAGTTGAAATCTGAATATGGCCAAATTTAAAATAGCCGATTTGCTATGTCTCCTCTGAAAAGAACTTTATCATTTTGTATCTGATATTTTCAAAATGCTTGATGTGTATAAATACCAATTTAGCTGACCTCAGAAGAATCAGAGGTCAAGGTGATTTAATGAAGAAACTAATTTAAAAATTTTCTTGCATTATTGACTCTGAGCTTTATTTGTAACCCTAGAAAAATTAATTTCTTGCAAAACACCATTAATTATCCCCAAATGCCAATATGAATGTCTGCCACCACATAACTACATCTGGCAACAATGAAGACAAATTAACAAGGAGAGTCAGAAAACCTGGCAATTGGATAAACAAAAGCATGAAAAATCCATTCTGTACAGTGAGACCACCAGTATTTGGAGATAGATTAACTTCCTGTCTCCAAAGCTAAATTAAAGAGGGAATTATACTGCAATATGGATACCAGGTTCCTTGATAGAGAAAAGAAAACCTGGCTTCTTTGACATTGCTAGATGGGACGGTACAAATGGGGGAACTTTTCTTCCGCATCTGAAATACGTGGTTTATATAGTTCTGTGTAAACAGCTGCTTTCAATTTTGCTTCGAAAAGATCTTGACAACTATATAAATTTGCACTTCCAAAGTGAATGGGTTGGGTGGGGGAGGCAGTCCTGTAATATTAGCCCATAGGGCCATACATGGGTCTCAAGCACATTGCTGACATGAGGATTTACAGTTTTCAAGAGCCTAGACTATTGCATCAATGGAAAAGATGCGACTGCTTTAATCTATCCTTAATTACCCCAAAGTACTACGTTTTGATTTCTAACCAGAGAGACAAGCCTTAATCCTTGTTTTCTTGAGGGGAGAAGGTGAAGGAAGGGAGAGAAAGGGAAAACAGGATACAGTTCTAGTTTAAGTTAGCGTGGAAGACAATGCACTTTCCACTTTAATTTTGAAATAAATTTGTGAGAACTGAGTAATTTCTGAGTTAAAAACTAAATCATTTTATATTAATCTAAATTTGTTCAATTAATGCAAAATAAATTAAAAATACATAAGCTCAGCCTTTTGAAGAAATACTTCATGATGAAGTTTATGACACAGTATGATGAACTCAGAACACCTGAAAGCAATATCTAAAATTTTAATCTCTGTAGTGAGAATTGTTCTTAATGAAATTTATCAAAATAACAAAATTTCAGCTTCGTTTTTCTTTTAAAAAATTAATAAGAAAATCAACTTTTTAAATCCTGATATCAGGCTTTCAAATAAATGGCTGGACCAAAATATTATAGCTTCCTAGTACTTTGTAAATCAACTATTATTATGAACAGAATAGTCATCACTAATAAAGAGAAAAAAAGTCAATCTGGTATTGAAATGCTGTGCTTTTTCTTTAGCACAAACAGGATTAGATTATGCTACAGAAAACTCAGCAGTACCATAATAACTTAAAATATCAACATCATTATAACCATGGATTTGGAAGGTACAAGATCAGTGAAACTATGGTTTCTTTCATGTCTCCTCTTGTTTACCAAAGCAGTGTAGTAGGATAGTGGCATTAAAACTACAAACTTCACCAGCCATTGTGTTTCATCAGTCATGTCCTAAAAGATGATCCAACCACACTCTAATCACCATTTGAAGTTTTAATTCAAATGGCTCTGTGTGTCATGTTTTTTTTAAAAAAATACAAATACCCACCCACAATTTCTGCAAAATGCAGTAGCGATCTTTCCAGCAATTGTCCTTTCCAGAGAGATCTATTCTCCCTCAGAGCACACATTTAATTCTTAAGAGTGCATGACTTTCCTAACATCAGATGCTGTCTTATATTTGATAACACACCATTTCCATCTATACAGCCCAATTCATACATATGTCTTCACAGATATGAAGGCAACTGAAATAAATGAGTATCTTAGGATAAGGATGCATAGGAATATGGACCAATCCAGAAGTCTTATTTTACTGGTTACAACAATCTAGGGGTATCAGGTGGTCAGTCCAATATCTCAAATGGATATTTTCCTCATACCTCTTGTCAATGATCAAACTTACAAAGACAGCACTGGGTTGTACTGAATGCAATATTTAAGTGGCTTGTGAAAAACAAGAGTGCATTATTCCTAAAGATAGGCAGATTCAGGGCCAAAACAAAGCTAAATGTGACCAGGATTTTCATCTATTAAAAGATAACCTAGAAATGCAATTTGAATTTCTGGAATGGATGCATTATAATTTGGGATTCAGTTTCATACTGATCATACATATTAACTAGAACTGGAATGTCTATGGGGTATAGGAAGTTTACAAGTGCATTTTTGCATATATCCAAAACATCTTTTCTGACATGGGCAATGTTATGCACCATAGCGCAGTTGAAACTAGCAAAGAAGATGCAGCTTCTTCATTCCCTTGAATATGATCTTGCTTTTATGTGCTTGTTACCAGTGCTATTTAATGCAGAAATCAACAAAACATAATAAACATTGTCAGATATTAATCTGTTAACCATTCATAATTTTGAACAGTTTCTTAAATCACACAAAAGTATATGAATTGGTATTAGTTTAAAACACCCATTTAAATAAAGTGAAGTCTGTCTCAGTAACAAATGCATAGTTCTTATTCACACCATTAATTTACAAAAAATACATTTTGGTTAAACAAAACTATACACATAAAAAATGTAAGGAATGTATAATCTTCCTGATATAATACATTTTGCAAATAAAGCTGCATCTGTATAAAAATCATAAATCTCTTTTAAAATACAACCAGAAGTTTCTTTTTAAATAATGTCCACTTTGAGGTAGTATAGTTCTTTGGTTCATGAGCTGATTTTGGGTTGGCACTGATGGCAAACTATGTATCTAAGTCAAAAGATTGAAAAGTAGGAGTCCTAGAGTTTTCAACTGATTGCCCACAAATAAAATTGGTAATGTCTACTTCAGGAAACGTCCTACCCATTTTATTACTACCTTCAGACGCCGAGTCAAAATCCAATGATTCATTAGAATAATGTTGGGAGGCTTTTGGCTGCAAAACTGAGGACTGCTTATAGCTTGGCAAAGAATCAAGCTGTGGCTTCCATATAGATTTTCCAAATGTTCCTAAAGAGATAGAGAAAACATTTATTAGCAATTATGGACAAGCAAAATAAATGTTCCACAAAATAGCCAACAATCAAGTCTCTGTTAATATCATAAATTTAATAATTACACTTTTTCTAATTACTCAATTATTCTGGTTCAGACCTGTGTTCACATATTTGGGAGAAACAAAGCAAGATATTGATTTCCTATTCATCTTTCAAGATTTGGTGTCTTGTGAGAGTTAAGGAGAGATCTAGGTTCACATTTTTATGCAGTTATGAAGTTTAGTAGATAGCCTTTGAAACGTGACAGGCTCATTGTAAGGCTCACTGAATGAGCATTCTCTCTCAACTTATCAGAGGGATAATACTGGAAGATAGTAAGACTAAATACTGTCTAAGTTCTTTCAAGAAAGAGCAAATAACATAGATGCTTGATGAATGAGACCTTTACTTCATATGTGTAGGTTTTTTCAGTTAACAACTGAAAAATATAGGAAAATGGGACTTTTTCAATGAATAAAGTAGTTAAGTCCTCATTTTTCAACTTTACTGCCTTATAACTTTATTGCTTGCATTCAAATGTAGTAAGGCATAGTTTCCAGCTATCCCAATATGGAAACATGCTGAAAATATCTTAGTGGCATAGGCCACTAAATGGTCAGCCCTTTTTTAGCAGAAAGGCAAACTCAATGTTTATTAACACATCCTAAAAAAATCTCTAAAGAAAATTGTTTAATGGGTATGGAGGAGAACAGTTTTTCAAAAAGCAATTCTACTTGTGGTCAAATGTGGTTTGCTCCCCATTATATGTATTTAGGATTTCTGGGTTAGAAAACCATTAAAACATACCCATGAAAGTGGTGCTTGGTGTAACAGAAGACAGTTCTTGATTTCTCTTAAATCCACACGTGTCTACATTTAGATGTGAACTTCTTATTCCATTCTCCTCACTTGGGGGATAAATAGAAGGAATCAACTTATTACTTGGCATGTGTATTCTGGAGATAGTGAGGTTTCGGTCAAAAGGATCTTCAGGTGAGTGGATATATGGGTAGCAGTCTTTTTTCTTTAAGCAGCTTGAATCATAAAGGTCCATGCATGCTATTCTTTGCTCTGAATTGCTGCCTTAAAAAACCAACAGGAAAAAAATTTACAATTTTACTGAAGACTGTTAAAATTAAAAAAAGATGGAAATAATTAAAACATATATATAATATAAATTACCTGTATGGTATGTTTCAAACATTTCTGGGCTACATAAATTTTCTTTTAAGTGCAGGCTTCCTGAAGTTCCCAGGTAATGGCATAAGAATGGATCCGTTACAGCTTCCAAGTCATTTTCACTACAGCTATCTGTATGACAACATCCTTTGAAAGGGAAATGACATATATCAGTCTCCTTTGATTTCAGATTTTTTTTCAAACCAAAACATCTTTCTACAGGTATTCCTCAAGTTATGAACATTCATTTAGCGAATGTTCAAAGTTACGACATCCCTGCCAAAAGTACTTACAACTGGGTCCCAATGTTATGTATGTTGCCTCACCACAGCGATCAGCCTTTCCAACTTCTCGTGAAAAAAAAAGTAAGTTCTCACGAAGTTGGACAGGCTGATTTTCCTTTTTGTTATATCACCACAAACTTGCCTCATGGAATTGCTTGGTCTCTCCTACTCTGCATTGGAGAAAGCGACAACTTCGGAGGAGCACTGAACCTGCCTGGATTTCACAAATCTTTGGAGGATTCTTCTATGGTATCCTCCGCATTTGTTCCTAGTGGTTGGTGGGATGTGGAGGAAAGGCCCAAACAGCCTGGGACCCCAAGGGATGGGAAGAGGAGTATGGGATCTCTCAGTGGGTGGGGGGTGGCCTTTGGTGTCTGGACGTAGTGGTCTTGTCCCTGCACTAGGCCTCCCATGATCTTTCCCACTCCTGAGGTACCACATGCGTTCTTAACGACCCATGCATTTGATTAACGAATGCATTGGAGAGAGGAGGGATGGGGCTCATTCATTTAATGAGTTAAATTAACAATTAACAAATCCTCATACGTAATTGGCAGGTTCCATTACATTTGTAACTCAAGAATTACCTGTATAGAGAAGCCTAACCAAATACAAAGCAGCTTGAGTATAATGAGTTACAGCTTCATTCAACAGTCACAATCTTAGTAGCTTCCAAATTTTTAGTACTACACACTCTCCATTCATTTATATTTGCTGACCACAAATTAAACATTTATTGATGGATATCAAATTGATTCTGCTGGGAAAAATCATTAAATTCATGCAAACTATCCTCACTATCCCAGGCAGCTCTTCAAAATAATCTGAGAAAATTCTATTATGAGGGAAAAATACTGGAAAACATCGTTATGCAAAAGAGTGTTTTATGTGACAAAAATCTAAAGTTATATTATGCTGAAATTCTGGCTCAAAATATAAACCAGATTGGAGGCACTGCCTGGAACATAGCTGAAATATTCTTTCTCCAGATGTGTGCATGTATAGAGGGGGGAACCTCTCCCTTTTTTACAGGAATTTTACTCATGGATAGACAAACTATCCACATGAAATATAGGCTCTTTCTCTTCCGTGATGTGCTTCATAAGATCATCACTGAGAATACCGGTTTAAGTTTCGGGTTAGGTTAAATCTTTAGAGAATAGCTTGGAACATAAGCTCTTTTCTTCTTTCCCAACTGTGAAAAAATCAGAACTTTTCTGTCAACAGTAAGGCCTTAGCTAGTATTGCAGATGAAAATACCGGGCAGAAATCAGTTTTTTTAGCATTATGGTGTCAACTCAAGAAGCTTTCCTGATCTGCTCCCGAGTTGCCATAGGCAAGGTATGAAAAGTAGACTAGGAAGACCCCCTGGGTTATTGCAACAGGTGGCAGACCCAATGAGACCATGGGAGGAAATCACAATGGACTTTACAGTTGAGCTACCAAAAAACGGGGAGGGGTGGAACACAGTGATTTGGACTGTGATTGACCTATTCTCTAAGCAGCACACTTCATACCCTGCAGTGGACTATCCTCAGCCCACCAGCTAGCCAAAGTCTTCCTGAAGCACATCTACCGTCTGCATGGAGTACTGCGCAGAATCATTTCGGACAGAGGAGTCCGATTCACGGCTAAATTCTGGAGGGAGTTCTTGCAGTCCATTGGGTCGTCCCAGGGCCTTAGCTCAGCTTTTCATCCGAGTACCAATGCAGGGCGGAGAGGCTTAACACCAGGTAGAACCTGAGGTGCTATGTGAACTACCAATAGTCCAATTGGCGGACCTTCTGCCATTTGCAGAGGTTGCTTACAATAATGCTGTTCACAGTAGCATTGGACTAACCCCTTTCAAGGCAGTAGCGGTATGGACTTTGTCCCAATGCCAGAATACCCAAGGAAACCCTCTTTCTCAGTCAGTTTGATTGACTGGTTGACAGCCAGTCAATTAACCAAAAGCAGCATGGGAAAATGTCAAGAAAGCGCTAGCTAAAGCAGTGCAGACCTATAAGCAACAGGCAGACAAACACCAAGCCCCACAACACCCGTTCCAAGTGGGGGAGAAGGTCTACCTATCCACAAAATACTTAAGGCTAAAGCTTCCCAGCAAGAAGCTGGGACCTAAGTTTTATTTTTTATTTTAATTTTATTTTATTTTGAATTTGTATACCGCCCTTCTCCCTGCGAACTCAGGGCGGTGAACAGCCAAGTAAAAACATCAAGTACAAATATTAAAATACAGTTAAAATATATATATATAAATTTGGCCCCATTAATTAAAAACAATAAACAAAACACTTAAAAACACTTAAAAAATTAGGCCAGCCCGGCTTGCTGGAAAAGGAAGGTTTTAAGGGCACGGCGGAAGGCACTGAGGTCTTGGACTCTCCTTATCTCTGGAGGCAATTGATTCCAGAGGGTAGGTGCCCCCACAGAGAAGGCCCTCCCCCTGGGGGTCACCAGCCTGCACTGTTTGGCTGATGGCACCCCGAGGAGGCCCTCTCTGTGGGAGCGCACGGGTCGATGGGAGGTCGTCGGTGGCAGCAGGCGGTCTCGAAGATAGCTAGGCCCTATGCCATGGAGCACTTTAAAGGTGATAACCAACACCTTGAAGCGCACCCGGAAGACCACTGGGAGCCAGTGCAGCTCGCGCAGGAGCGGTGTTACATGGGAGCGCCATGCTGCTCCCGTCACTACCCACGCTGCTGTGTTCTGGACCAGTTGGAGCCTCCGGGTGCTCCTCAAGGGGAGCCCCATGTAGAGTTCATGGGGCCATACCGCATAGTAAAGATGATCAGCCCGGTCATGGTGCTACTGAAGCTGCCCCGACTGCTGGGGAGAATACACCCAGTATTCCACAGCAGCCTCTTAAAACATGTGGTCAGATCAACCCTGAGACCACTACCCTGTGAGCCCCCAGATCCAGTGGTCATCGGGGCCAAACCCATTACAAGGTGCAACACATTTTTGACTCTAGGTGGCACAGGGGCAACTCCAAGTGGAGGGGGCTACCCTCTATCAGAGGCATCTTGGGTAAAGAGCAGAAACATCCAAGCTGACTGCTTCATAGCCAGAGTCCATGAAAAACCCCAACCAAACCTAGGGGGGGATCACATCCTTAAATGATACACCTGTATTCAAATAATTTTTGCTTTGCACAGGTTGCCTTCAGGAAGCTGAATGTCAACTCACGAAGCTTTCCTGACCTGCTCCCGAGTAGCTGTAGGCAAGGAGATGGGAATTGCACCTTGCAGCTGCACCAAGGAATTCACACCTCAGTCAAAACAAGACACAGCCTAGCTGGCCGAAGTCAAGGCCATCTCCACGAAGACCCGCAATGGCTGGGGGGAGTGACTTCTACAACCCATGAAATTGTTTCGTTGGGGAATGTGACTGATGACACACTGGGGGGAGGGGGAAACAGGGTCAGAGGCAAGGCGCAAATTGGGTGAAGCCAAAGATGGCTTCACACAGGTCGTGCCGACACGGTGCTCCTAATAAATAACTGGATTTTTTTTGCTAAATGGCTTGAGACTCTTAATTTTATTAGGGCATTGGTTGGAACCCTGACATATGGATTTTTGTTTAAAAACAGGTCTAGGTGAAAACTAAAAATGAAATAACATGCAGAGTAATAAGAATGTTCAAGTCATTTCCTAGAAGTGTTCTTCAGCTGGAAAAAACATACATATCAAGAAGAACAGCACTACTGTAAAACTAGAAACATGTGGATATATAATATTAGGACATCTTTGGGCTAATAATAGTCAGAAGACAATCCTTCATCAAAACAATTGATGAGAAATTTAGAAATAGTAAAATAAAATTATTGTTCTCCAATTTATTTGGTTAAAGAACAAGAGTTCTTTAACCGGGATCTTAAGCTGCAATTCTGCAGCACATTACATTGGAATGAAGCCCAGAATTACATTCTGCAGCACATTACATTGGAATGAATCCCTACATGGATTGCATACAGCTGTTAAATCCTTACCGTTGCTTTGTCTCTGTTGAAAGAAATATCCACCCATGGGGGATGTCTGTACAAAATGATGCTGGCTTCCATTCTCTGATGACCCATATCCATCTTGTCTTTCAGCTAAAGTTCCTTGGGATGACAGATAGCTTGGAATATCTGCAGGTAAGTTTGTCTCATCTGTGATAAACAATGTACATGCACAAAACTATCAGTGGCTGAATTCTTTGAAGTATTTTGCATGAGCTACAGAAGGATGAGTTTCAAAAATTATTTAGGTTTCAGAATTTGAGTCAAAACACAAATATTTTTGCAAGGAAAACTTCAGAAGGGTAACCTCAAACATCTTTAAGAGTCTGTTCCAAGTTCTAGTTTACTCACCCGTGTTTGTGACACTGCAATCTTCATTTCTCCTTCTCGTGTGGTATATGATGACCACCCACACAAGGGATGTGCCAACCACACAGCACACCACAGCTATGATCACTACTCCCACAGTAGCCCATCCATCATCGAGAGACAGGGCAGCATTTTGAGGAGAATCACAGGTAGGAGTAGGAATCACACTCAGGCGAATGTTGCCTCTCTCGGTTCCAAGTGTGTTAGACATTTCACATGTGTATTTCCCAGCATCTTCAAAGTCTGTGTCCACAATAATAAGCAACTGATTTCCCGCAGCAAAGAAATGCTTTTCTGTCACTGCTAAAGTGCCATCATCTTTGGTCCAATTCAGCCGAGGAGATGGGCTGCCCCCAGCAATACACTGCAAGACTGCTGTTTCACCTTTCATCACAGTTCGATCCAGCAAGGGCCTCAAAAAGGAGGGTGTTTCTAAAAATGGATAAAAAGTCAGTAAACGCATAAAAGTTCTCAGGGTAGAATCTTAATCATAGATTGCACAATTATGTGCAAATGTACTGAAAATAATAGATCCAAGTCTAATATGTGTATTAAGCTGTATTTATTGCTGTCAAAAATAAAATGGTGAGCTATCAAATTACCAGGGTTCAGCTTAGAGGGACACGATATTCTTACCTAATATTGTTAATGTCGCATTTGCAGAAATACTGCCTGCAATATTCTGAGCTGTGCAGCTGTAAAGACCTGTATCCTCAATTTTGACATCCACAATAAAAAACACATCATCCTCAGGCATCACATGCATGCGTCTCTTGCGTGCTGCAGGGAAGTCAGTACCACCATCTTTCTGCCAAGCAATCTGGGGCATGGGATGACCAACAGCAGCACACTCTAGCCGTGCTGTTGCCCCTGCACGGATTGTAAGATCCATGGGCATCTTGGTAAACAATGGAAGTACTATAAGAAAGAACACATCTATGTATCAGGAATGGTTCCAATGAAGATTTGTCATTAATTATTTCATGGGGAGGTCACCACTGATTCCTGCTTCCCAAAAGAATAGAATAAAAGGTCTTGTTTTCTCAGGCCATTTTTCTGTATTTTGCTTTTGTATTTGTGGCTTTGAGTCAGTCTTGACTCCTGGTAGTTGCCTCAACAAGTACACACAACTTTCTTGGCAATGTTTTTGGAAGTGGTTTGCCCTTGCCTTTTTGCTAGGGCTGAGTGAGCATGACTGGCCCAAAGTCATCTAGCTGGCTTCATGCCTAAGGTAGGACTGAAACTAGCAGTTTCTGGTTTTTAGCCTAGTGTCTTAGGTACGACACTGGAACTTAGCTTTATAAATTTGCTGACAATTTATTGATTTACTTATTGATTTTTTAATGATTTATTTATTTAATATTTATTGTGAACTTTTTAGAGAAGACTGATGCTGGAAGATAAATAAACAACAAAAACAAACTAATATAGGTTTATAGTCTTAAAAATGAAAACAGACAAACAAATATATATCTGATAGCATCCCTAGGGAGACATTTTACTGACAGGATGTCACCTCTGAGAATCTTCTTGTTGCCACCTGTTTTTTCTTCAATTCATAGGATTCCTTGAGAAGACCCACCCATAATAGGTCAAGCAGATATAACGATCAGAATGTTTTTACATAACTGCATTCTCAGTTATAAAAAACCTCATTTATTTCTGTCATGAGAGCAGAAGCAGAAGAGCTCATAAAGAAATAGAGTTCTAAACCTTGGTCCTCATTATCAATTGAGCAACTATATTCTAAATAGTTATTTCCAGATAGCCTTGAAATATAGTTTAGAGTTAATAAATTCCATAGGTTTCCACATGTTGTTGAGTACCTTACAGAAACTCCAGCTAGAATAGCCAGCATTAGGAATGTTGGGAGCTATAATATGAGGAGCTCTAGTTATTTTACCTACAAGTTACAGCAATCTAAATGGAGGCTTGTAGGTACAAATAACTGCAAAAAACTCATTTATTTTCTCATGTATCCACACAACCAGCTAATATCTGCTCAATATCTATTAAATATGCTAAGCAAAACCTTTCAGAAGGAATGCTGTATCATACATTTTAATTTTAATATGTAAGTATATTTTAAATGCTTACTGTTCACTGTAAGTTTAGCCTTGACAGAATACGATGAGCCAAAGTGATTGGATATAACACACTGGTATTTTCCTTCATTACTGAATTCAACATTGCGCAGTCTAAGGATGGTGGTGTACTCCATCACTTCACCACCTTGTGCCCTAAGGTGGGCATAATTCTCCATTTCAGCATCACCTATTAATTCATTATCCTTTTTCCATGCGAAAGTCATCGGAGAATCACTGCTGCTGGCTGCTGAACATATAAAACTTAAATTGGAGCCTTTGATTGCTGATTGAGTTTCAGGTTGGACAGTTATCTGTGGCTTTGGAAAATCATCTATTAAAAAAGAGTCCCCCCCCAAAAAAAGAGTAGCATTGAATAAGATCACACAATTTCTTGTCCATCAGAAAAAGTGAGAGATCAGACTTGAAAACTTATTAGTTCTGATACAGTCAATTTTATATAGCACATATTTTTAAAAACCAGTTCTTTTACTAATCTTTGTCTAAATCAGTCTTTTATAATTTGGTTGGGACAGATGCCAAATTAGGAATTGCTAATCTAATAAATGTCAATTTCTTAATCCATATTCTGCTCAGAAATATGATCCATCAAGTTGACGAACCTTCCTTGTATACTTATATACAAAGGCATTCTGTATGGTTTAAAAGAATTATTTCCATTTCCGTAGCACACTCAATCACATAGCTACTTATTGAAAAGCTGGCTGCCCACTAACCTAAAAGCATAGAGAAGGGAAAGCTGCACTGACACACAGAGAAAAACTAGATAGCTACTTATGCCTGGTCATCTCCTGTTTAGATTATTGCAATATAGTCTACATGGAGCTACCCTTGAAGAGTATTTGGAAGCATACAGAGTTCTGAAGGCCCTAGGGTGGCGAATAACATCACTGTTACATGAGCTGCCAAAGTATTTTGACTGGTGGGGTCCAGGAGAAGAGCCATTTATGCTGCAGCCCCCAACCTTTGGAACATCTTATTGCCAGGTATCTGTCCCCTCTCTTCTGGCCTTAAAACCTGGCTATGCCAGTTAGTATGGGACCCTGAAACTGTAGGCTGAGGTGGTTGGCGCAGTGACAGAGAAGGTACTACCACTGCTCAGCAACAAACCTTTGATCCTTTACCCTGTTCTTATTATTTTGTAATTTTAATCCACTTTTATATCTTTGTTTTATTACATTGTAGGCAACCCAGTTACCAAGAATGGCTAGATGGATGGTATATGCATTTAATAATATGCAAGATTTCTGTCTATAATTGAGGAACAACAAAACTGCTTAGAAAGAAAGAAAAAGAAAAATGTTTAGTTCAGGATGACTTGATTTTTGGAGTCTGATATATTTGTTCAGTGCCTTCTTAGCTTCAAAAGGTCACTGAATAAATGGTTGTTAAGCAAGGATTACCTGTAAGTGGGATTTACTGTAGTTCTGAAAAGACGTGTAATAATTTTCAGATTTTCTTAATCATTACTTATCACTTGAAAGATATGGTTAGGTGGTATTCTAATAAATATATAATCATTGTGTGTTATGCTAAACATACCTGTAGGCATCTCTTAGTACAAGAAGAGTGATCTTTCCATACCGTTTTTTAAAACTGTAAGGATACTGACAGGCACTCAGGTATACTGGCCCATGTAGAAGCAAATGATGGCTTCTGTTTTATATCTGTTTTATCAGTCATATTCAAGGATAGCATGCAAATTCATTGTTAAATCAATTACAGTGTTTTTATTTAGCTAGCATGCCATGTTTCAATACTGATTTCTAGTTTTTAATTTTCTGAATAATTGCATCCAAAATTGATCACCTCTGTGTAGCTGTGACTTGTACAAGTTACATCAATTTTGAATTATAAGGATAAGAAAATGTGTAAGTAAGTATTTTTCATCTTTGTTAAAATAAATATTTTTTGTTTTCTCAGCTATCCCCCCTTAAAAATTCCTCTCTGACCTGGCATGTTAAATTTGTATTTAAAACCACATACACATCATTATTTACATTATGTTTAGAAAGGCATGTGGCATTTTTCCTGCTGAGCAATCATAATAATGAATGCAAGAATGAGTATTCTACAAAATTTTACAATCCTGACAAGAGTTAAAAAGGACAATTTAAACGTACCACATACAAAACCTTCTAGGCTGACAGCAAAAACATTTCTTCCTTTTAATGCCTGAGGATGGGCACACGTGGCATTTACAAAACTCTGGAATTTATTGTCTATTAGCCACTCAGGTAGCCATTTCAGCTGGCAATCGCACAAAAGGCTTGATGTGTTTATATATCTGGAAAACAATCATGAAACACATTAGAACCATAAGAAAAACAGACCTCTACATCTGAAGGGAACAATATTAAAAACAACCCTTAGCAAACAACAAACTGGTGCCCAACATCTTGCTCCATCATAACATATCAAAACAGTAGCAAGTAACTCTAACATGAAGATCTTTCTACAAAGGTTCCAAATAACCAGATTTGTATTCTTTAATAATATATGCTGTTGTGCAGGGTTTCAAATTCAAAGCAATAAAAGTGATTGTTCAGTATGAAGTTTTAAAAACATTGTTGCTTGAATTCCATTAAACACATGCTTTTTTCATGGTTTCAGAACAAGAAATCCATTCTCCCTTTTTGTTTTATTTTAGTCATGGTGAGATCTGATATCAGGGTACTTTCCACAGTGTAAGAACTAGGTCTCACAGTTCTTTTCACAAGTGAGCAACCTCCTTCCCTCTATATCACTGTGTCTTAATAAATGGAAAGACTCCTCCAAATTAACCTGAATGTGGTAACTTCATGAAAACATCCATGTGGTGTGGTTTTTTTGGGGGGGGGAGGGGGAATTATCTGGAGGGCTCGGGATAGGGGATGTTCCTCTATCCTGGTCCTATTAGATCTCTCAACGGCTTTTGATACCATTGATCATGGTATCATGCTGCACCGGTTGGAGGGGTTGGGAGTGGGAGGCACCGTATTACGGTGGTTCTCGTCCTACCTCTCTGACAGGTCGCAGTCAGTGTTGACAGGTAGACAGAGATCGACCTCAAGGCCCCTTATTTGCGGGGTGCCACAGGGGTCGGTCCTCTCGCCTCTCCTGTTCAACGTTTATGTGAAGCCGTTGGGGGAGATCATCCGTGGTTTTGGGGTGCGATGTCATCTGTACGCTGATGACACTCGGCTGTACATCTCCACCACAAACCACCCCAATGATGCCCTTGAAGTGATGTCCCAGTGCCTTGAGGCTGTACGGGTCTGGATGGGGAGAAACAGGCTTCGACTCAACCCTTCCAAGACTGAGTGGCTGTGGCTGCCGGCGTCCTGGTACAGCCAGTTAGTCCCATCACTAACTATTGGGAACGAGTCATTGACCCCCGCAGAGAAAGCTCGCAATTTAGGCATCCTCCTGGATGCACGACTGTCTTTAGAAGATCATATAACAGCCTTGGCCAGGGGAGCTTTCTATCAGGTTCACCTGATTCGCCAATTGCGTCCCTTTCTAGACCGGGACTCATTACGCAGTCACTCAAGCCCTCGTCATTTCCTGACTTGACTATTGCAATGCTCTCTACATGGGGCTCCCCTTGAAGTGCACCTGGAAGCTCCAACTGATCCAGAATGCGGCCGCGCGAGTAATTATGGGAGCAACATGGCGCTCACATGTAACACCTCTTCTACACGAGCTGCACTGGCTTCTGATGGCCTTCCGAGTGCGCTTCAAGGTGTTGGTTCTTACCTTTAAAGTGCTCCATGGCTTAGGACCTGAGTACTTACGAGACCACCAGCTGCAACCGATAACCTCCCACCAACCAATATGCTCTCACAGAGTAGGCCTACCCATAGTACCATCGTTAAAACAATGTCGTCTAGTAGTTCCAAGGGAGAGAGCCTTCTCTGTGGGGGCGCCTACTCTTTGGAACAAAATACCCCCTGGAATACGAATAATTCCAGATTTTCGCACTTTCTGACGTGCCCTGAAGACCTTTCTGTTTCAACAAGCAGGGCTAGCATAAACATCTAAATTCTATGCCAAGGTCTTCGCAGATACACCAAGTTGACTCAATTTATTATTTACTGTTTATAAGGGGAAAAAAAATTATTATATGTATATGAAATCTTAATCTGTTCACCGCCCTGAGTCCTTCGAGAGAAGGGCGGTATAGAAATTCAATAAATAAATAAATAAATAAATAAATAAATAAATAAATAAATACATACATACATACATACATACATACATACATACATACATACAGATGTGGCTCACCACTGCCTCCTTATGAGAGTTGTTCCAACTGCCTGGTTCCCATCTCTGACCTTGTGATTTTCTGATGCAAGTGCTAAGTCTAGATCTATTTTTTTAAAGTTTAGCATAGGTTTCATAAATACTGCAATCTTAGATAAACTCAACTATTATTGGGTATTTTTAACTAAATGAAAGCTGTGTTGGAGAAAAGACAGATACTTACAATTCTTTAAGATTCTTCATTTGTAAAAATGTGTTTCCTTGAATTGACATGATTGCATTATTACTTAGATCTCTATAGGAGAAAAGAATAATGCAGATCAATTTAGGGCAAATTCTATTCCAAAAGGAAAAAAATATATATCTCATTGTAATTACACACAATAATTTAGCAATATTTCTGGATAAAAAATAACATTGGGTAGGGGAATTCTTTTGATGAATTAAAAAAAGATATTTCCATTTTTTAACAAAACTGTAAATGTATCTGGATTTTTAAGAAATACAGCTAGTCCTCGACTTACAACAGTTCATTTAGTGACTGTTTAAAGTTACAACGGCACTGAACAAAGTGACATGATCATTTTCACACTTATTTCACACTGTAGCATCCCCTTGATCATGTGATCAAAATTCAGAAGCTTGGCAATGACTCATATTTATGACGGTTGCAGTGTCCCGGGATCATGTGATCACCTTTTACAACCTTCTGACAAGCAAAGTCAATGGGGAAGCCAGATTCACTTAACATCCATGTTACTAACTTAACAACTGCTATGATTCACTTAACAACTGCGGCAAGAATGATAATAAAACAGGGAAAAACTCACTTAACAAATGCTTCACTTAGCAACATAAATTTTGGGCTCAATTTTGGTCATAAGTCGAGGACTACCTGTATGGCCTAAAGCACGAGAGGGGAAGGAAGAAATGATTAAAAAGGAAGAGATCTTAACTTCACATTGTGTGTCAGTTTTTTTTCTTTTCTTTTTTTAAAAAAGCCCTTTTTAATTCTTTAAACTTTATCCAGTTGAGGATCAAGGTTAAAAGATGATTGATATACTTCCTACAATGACAGAAGTTTGTTCTAATGTTTAAAAAAACCAGCATTCTTATAACAATGGTAGATTCCTTGATAAGCCAAAATTTCTTCCTGGAACTTCCTAGACCATATCACTATGCAATGTCATGAAGAGGTCGATACTTCTAAGAAACTTCTACTGTTCCAGGTATATTTGGCTTTCTTAAAAGCTCCAGAAAGACACAAGGATCTACTTTACTCACTTTGATAACAGAAATGAAAATAAAGACATTTTAGAAAGTAAGTATACCCCCTACTACCTACAATGTGGATTTTCCAATTGTGAATAAATGCTACTTGGACTGCAGTGACCTCCAACTGTTCCTAACAAAGCCTGGCATCAAATTATTTTTAATCCCTAACCCAGAAAAGTGTTCAAATTTTCTTTGTGGACAGTGCATTGCCAGCCCTAAGATTCCAGTAAGCAACTTTTTCTAATATTAGCACCACTGTATATTTTAGTAACTTTACTTAAGAATAATTTTCAAGTACTTACAGGTGTTCAAGTGCATCCAGACCAGAAAATGCTTTCTTAGTAATAGATCTAATTCTGTTCCCTTGGAGTAGCCTGGAAATAGAATATGTAATAGATGCAATAAAATAAGAAGTATATCTGGAAATTTTGATAATGCCTTTGGAGCCATATTTTATCATGTTGCAATTCTTTGCCTTTTAAGCTTCTTCCTGCCACAGTGATTCCATTTCCTAATTAGGTGCTTTTTTTGGTTCAATAACTAGAGCAAGGGTCTTCAAACTTTTTAAACAGGGGGCCAATTCATGGAGTGGCCAATTTAACAGTCTATTAAACAATGCACACAAATTAAACTTTAATTTGTTTTGCTCCTGGGGGTGTTTTATTTGCTTTTGTTTGCATGTTGCTCTTTTGGTTGACTTTTCTTTTTACTAGATTGTTTTTTCAGTTGTTTAGGAGTCTAGTGGTCCACTTCAGGAAACTCAGTTTTGCAGCAATTCTTCTCAGCCCCAAGGAGCTTGAGTAATCTCTCTCTGTGTCTCTATCTCTCTTTCTCTATTTTCTGGAGGTGGGGGAGATGAAAAACGGGCCCGTTTTTGGCCTCCCAGGGCATCCATATGCCCCGTTTCTCACCTCCCCCACCTCCAGAAGCATTCTGCAGGCCAAAAGTGGGTGAAAGCAGCCCATTTTTTGGCAAAAAACGGACCATTTCCCCCATTTTTTGGCCTCCTCGGACATCTGTGAGCCCCGTTTTTCACCTCCCCGCCTCCAGAACGTCCCTGCAGGCCAAAACTGTTGGCCTTGCCTTTCAATTCCAGCCCGCTGGGCTTGCGAAGGTAAGTCCTGTGCTTGGCCGAAGGGTGGGTGGGGCAGCCTTGTGGTCCTGTGTGGGCCGGATTAATGACTTCAGTGGGCTGCAGTTTGAGGACCCTTGAACTAGAGAGATGAAGACATTTTAAAAATGCTTATGAACATAATTTGGGAAAGCAATTATTTTAGGAATCCACACAACTCATCTGTTTTTTCCACCTGCTGGAGTTTGAAGAAAATATCTACATTCTAATGAAGCCTAGATAATAGTTTGCTCAATAAAATGTTGTCTCTGCACACAACTAATCAACGTTTCAATAATGTAATTACTTAAATATCTATAATGAATAAAAATAAGACATTTTGTAGTACTACATGTGACACTATTTTTATGTATTGCTTTTATTGGTTGCTTTATAAGGTTTTCAAGACAATAAGCAATGAAAGCAAGATCAATTTAAAACCCAAAACATCCTGTAAAACATATCCCAAATAACAGCATATAGTAGAACCTCTGGTTACAAACACTTCTGACTACGACCAAATCAGGTTTTTTTGTAAGTGCCAAATTTTCTGTTGTTTGTTTACAAACAACAGTGACCCATGTGTGGCCACTGCATTAATTTTGGTTAGGTTTGGTCACAACCAAATCGGGTTACGACCAAAGTTATGAAATGAATTATGGTCGTGACCAGAGATTCTACTGTACTATGAAAGAAAAATATGTAGTGATTAAAACAGATTTAATTTTAAAACAGATAAGCAAGATTAAAATATATAAGCAAGACCAGAAAAGCCACAAAATCAACAACAAGCTGAACTATATTTCAAATCCTTCTCAATATTTATGCATTAGAAAGATAGCATATCAAGGAAGAAACTGTTGAATTAAGATGATTACATAATTAAACATAAGCTCAAGGTTGACTCAGCCTTCCATCCTTTCAAAGGTAGGTTAAATGAGGACCCAGTTTGTGGGGGCAATAAGCTGACTTTGTATAAATATACAAAAGTATGAAGGCTATTGCTTAACGCATTGTAAGCCGCCCTGAGTCTCTGGAGAAGGGCGGCATATAAATCAATTTTTTTTTTTAAAAAAAAAGTAACTTTGGCTACAAAGTCTCATAACATGTTATCTCCATTTTCCCATCTCCATCTTAGCTAGTTTTCACACTCCTGATCTTTGTCTCTGTCCACTATACAAGAAATAAAATAGATGGGCTTGATAAGAAAATTCCAGTTAAGCTTTATGGTGCAAGCATTGAAAGTACTGCAAAGATAATCTCAAAGAGAAAACATAAAGGTAGTGAGCAAGCAGGTGACATCAAAGTTAAATTCACATTGCAGACAGCTGCCATCTGGTCTAATATCAACTAGGAATTTTCCTTCCTCTGTGGTTGTTGTTTAATCTATGGGCTTTTGTGGAACAATAATAATAACCATCATTGCCACAAGAATAATAATGATATTAACAATGAAGATAATTATAATTTGCAAGAACTTGTGTCCTTTATAAACCTTCGTATCCAAGACCACAGAAGAAATATTCATCATTACTCAAATAGAAAAAAGAAAGTTATACTTACAGCCATTTAAGTTTGTGAAGTCCAGAGAAAGCACCATTCATATCTTCAATTGTCCATGAGATTTCATTATTTTTAAGGTCTCTGTAATGGGGAGGAAAGGATTTTAAATGTGTTTTCAAAATATGAAAAAAGATACACATATGTTTGAAATCACAACTTTAATTTGTGTAACTCTTAGTTTATAATCTTTTATCTGTGTTTGTGTGCTTCTGAGTCAATATCGACTCCTGGCAACTACCTAGAGAGGTTACTGCAGTTTTCTTGGCAATGGAAAGTTTTCTTTCCATTACCTTCTTCCTGGGTCTGAGAGACAGTGACTGGCTCAAAATCACCCAGCTGACTTTGTGACTAAGGGGGGACTAGAAGCAATGTCTTCTGGTTTCTAGCCTGACACCTTAACTACTACACAAAGTGACTCTTGGTCTGCAGTTTAGATCATGTTAATACCTATTCTGTGGAGAAAAAAAGACTCAATATACTATTCAGTTCAATAAGCATTGATCACACTTTTTTCAAGTCATAAACTAAAATTCAATTTTATGGTATCCTGCTGATTTTAATGCTGTTATCAAAAATACAGGGCTTTTATGGATCATAAAAATATTTTGGCTTCCTCATTAGAAGATCTGCTATGCCAGTAGCAAGTGAGGGGAGTTAAAAAGGCAAACAGGCTACCTGTAACAGAGACTAAACAGTTGGATTAATGTATATGAATGGGACCAAAGACCAGACACTTCTTACACGTCTAACAAGTTATTACAGATGACCCAAAGAGAGTTCAAGAGGTTAAGATCATTGTCTGATTTACATGTCATAATAGGAGTTGGAGTACAGCTATCCCCATCAATGGAACATATAAACATATAAATCAATGGAACATGTAAACATTGGTGCATGTGGGCAACAATAGCAAGTAAATGAGTGAGTGCTTCTATAACAACAGCAACAATAAGTGATGTTTCTTGTGGTTCCCATTCTTTTCCATTATGCCATTATGCAGATTACAAACCATCATTAAAAGCTTTTCAGTGTAAACCCGCAGCAAGGAGTTGGCAACAATGTTCCTGTGAGTATCATATGATAAATGACCTCAAACATTCACTGTCTGAAAATCCAAAATTATTGTGAGAAGTTTTATATCCAAATATATTTTATTCTTTATACTGTTTCCATCTTCCCTTAAAATATTAACATAATTCACAATGGTCTGAGAATCAGTGTCTCCAAATTAGGAAACTTCCTCAAACCCTGAAATATATTACCCAGACCTAATAATCCACAAATCAAAAGATAAAGTCTGCAAACACTAATAGAATTAATTACATTAAATCTCCTAGAAGAGATCTACACACACACACACACATACTCAGCACGTAGATATTTCCACACCCTGGACAAGCTCCCTCTCTGAAAGTTTGCCACTGTACCCCATTTCTCTGCAGCCTATCCCTAAAAGCAAACTGTTTTACTTTTAGGAATAAATATTTCTTCTTTCCTCACAGCTGTCTAGATCTCATTTTTATTTATTCCTATGCAACCCCGGCTCAAGTTGGAACCCCAAATTATTTTTCTGACATTAAATATGAAATTCTATCTCCAAATCTCCCAATATTTTGTGTTCCTTCCCAAAATCTTGCTGTTGGAGTTACACACACACACACACACACACACACACACACACACACACCCGCCTCGTGATGGCACTATATGGCATGTTTTGTATTATAATTCCTTATTTCAATAACTATTTGTCTAGGACTCAGGGGTCTGCAACCTTAAACACTCAAGAACCATTTGAACCCATTTCCCAAAAGGAAAAAAAAACACCAGGAGCCACAAAGCCTGGGTGGGCGTGGCCAACTCGATGTCACTCACTCCCACCCAATCACATGACCCCTTAGCCATGCCTACCTAGCCATAAAACCATTCTCTCTTTGTCTCTCTCTCCCCCTCCCCCTCTGTATCTCTCTGCCCCTCTCCCTCTCCCCCTCTCTGTATCTGTCTCTCTCCCTCCTCTCTATCTCTCTCTCTCTGTATCTCCCTCTACCCTTTTCTCTCCCCCTCTCCCTATCTTCCCCTCTCTCCCCCTCTTTCTTTTTTCCCCATTTTTTTTATTTTTTTAAAACATAAAACATAAAATACATCGTTTTAGAGTAAGGGTTTGGTCTGGCATAAAATGAGTACAATTATTCACATTCCCTCAATCAATTTTGTTCCAAATTTTATCCATTTACATCTTTAAAAAGAAAAAAGAAAAAAATCTTATTCTAAACATTTATCATTCTACTATTACACCCAAAATTCTAAACAATAAACACTGTTCTAAATCTTTATCATTTTAACAATCAATATTTCATATATGTTCCTCAATCCTAAAACCCATTACCTCAAATCTATATTTTACTTCTCTTAAATGACATCTAATATCCATAATTTTGACAAAAAGTATTTTCCTCCTCTCTTAAAGTCATTGCATAAACAATCAACATTTCCTTCTATAGTTTGTTACTTCCACAATACTTTATTTTATTTATTTCAAGTTTATTCTCATATTTTATTGAATCTAATTTTTAACTGGTTCACAGTTTAGCTACTATTCTCCGGTAAAATCTCTTCCACTTCCTCCTAAATTTATTTTTTAGCTGGTTCGCATCTTAATCAGCTGCTTTCCAGCAATGCTTTCCTCCACTCCTTAATTATTTTAGCTGGTTCCCAGTATAATTTTAACTGCACACCAACCTTCTCCCTTAACTCCTCCTAAATCTATTATAAAACTGGTTCACAACTCAAGTAGTTGTCTTCCAGCAATGCTTTCCTCTACTCCTACCCCTATTTTTAACTGGTTCACAACTTTATTTCAATTGATCCCTAGGTATAGTCTCCTCCACTCCTAACTTTTTATTTTTGACTAGTTCACAGTTTTGCTTTAACTGTTGACCAGCGTATGCTTTCCTCCACTCCTACCTTATTTGTAAAACTGGGTCATAGCTTTGCTTTCACTGATCTCCAGAGTCATGCTTTCCTCCACTCCTAAATTCATTTATTTAACTAATTCATAACATATATCTCTTATTCAGTTGCTTAGCTCCAAATTACTTTGGAATATGTTACCAATATTGTTTTCCAATCTATTCTCCTCCATATCTCTTACCAATTTAAGATAAAAGTATATTTCAATAAATATCTTATCTCCTATTCTCTCTTAAGTTTTCTCCCATTCCATGCTTATTTCTTATTTTCAACAAGAAACATTTTGAAACACTTTAAAATCAAATTTTTATGGTTCTTAATTCTATAAATAATTCTTTTTAACATCCAACGGCTTTAAAAGTAAATATTTTCTTCCAGATTATTAAATCTTTAAGTAGTGCTAGTTAAAAATTCAAAATTTAAAAAGGCATTAGAACATGCAAAAATCATGTTTTTCTTCAATCATTTATGCTCTTATTTCTTAATCAAATTGTTTATATATTTATATGAAAATAATAAAAAAAGGAGAGAGTAATTTGCTATTATTTACAATAATATTACAATAAATATTATTGTAATACAATAAATATTATTGTAATACAATAATATTACAATAAAAGAAATACAAAAAAAATAAGGCAACATTAAAAAAAGGAAAAAGGAAAAAGGAAGAGAGTAGAAATATAACAAAAGAAGTAAAATGGATTAAAAAAGAAAATAGAGAGAGGAAAAGAAAAAAAGAGAAGGATACTACAAGAAAGAAATAGAGAGAGAGCATAGAGAAGAAAAAAAAAAAGAAAGAAAGAAACTATCTCCTAGCATTATTCAACCACCCAGAAACCGTTACATTCATTTAAATCAAAATATAATATTTTGTTGTCTTGTTGCATAATATATTCCATTATTCCTTTCTCCAGTCTGTCCAAGTATGTATCTTTTCCATTTCAATGTCATCAAAGTTATGAGTTCTACATATCCCATATATATGGTATCATCATGTCCTTCTTCTATTGCCACACCCTTCTTTTATTGCCACGTTTATTTATTTTTTATTTTATTTTTTATTTTTTTATTTTTTTTTATATGCCACCCTTCTCCGGAGACTCAGGGCTGTTGTGGCCCCGCCCTCTGAGCCTGTTCCATCGGAGGAAGAAAGCTCCGAGCATGAGGAAGAGGAGTCAGCCAGGCCTCCCTCTCCAGGCCCCTCCCCTCTGGCACTGTCTCAGGTGCCGGCCGAGGGAGAGGAGATTAGCAGGGAGACAGGTGGCTCGGATGAGAGCGAGGGAGAGACATCATTCCTGGACGCATGCCTCCGAAGGCGTGATAAACGATTGCAGCAGCTCAGGAGGCGTGCTAGGGATTAGAACTGAGTCACTGGACCACACCCCAGAGACTATATAATAGAGGGTGGTGGCCAGCGATCCCTGTGACGAACAAAAATAAACCTTGGATAGTCACTAAACCCTCGTCCGGAAACTGCTGAGAGGAATATTATTCTGATTGGACTTTTGTACGCTAAGTATCTTATCTTTCTGTTTTGTGGAAATAAATGCACTTGGCAGACGGTGTGTAAATCGCTGCCAAGTTGGAGATAAAGACCTGGGTGTGTGCCAAAGTGTTTCCTTAACCCTCGGCTGGCTGTGTTTGTGTGTGTGTGTGGACGGGGACAGATCAAGGGTGGCTTACAATGCGTTAAGCAATAGCCTTCATACTTTTGTATATTTTATACAAAGTCAGCTTATTGCCCCCACAAACCGGGTCCTTATTAGTTCAGCTTTCATTGTTCCATTTAATTTCTTCTTTCTAATCTTCAATAAATCCTCAATCAAGTTCTCTGAGTCTTTTCCTCAAAATAGTCAAGTTTAAATAACAAGCAACAAAGTTTCTCATTTCAAGTAACAATCAGCCTGGAATTTACACTTTCCCTTTTCAGCTGGCAACCATTTTATCCATCTCCGTTTGTCTTTTCCCTTTGCTTTTGAAGGCATAATTATTTCCTCTTCTCCTTCCTCTCTCCCAAACATAGTCCAATCTCATTTATCCACCAAAAAGTAAAGAAAAAATATATCCAGATCTGTAGTCAAACATTTCCAAAAAGTCAGTAATTTATGTTATCCACCAACAGGTCTTTTGTCTTTGTGCCCCAACAGTTCTCAGCCGCTGTTAAGGCTGGGGCAGACTAATTGTAATTCAGTGTTTATGGGCAGTTCCTGCCTGGGTTGATGTCCACTCACCCGGCATACAAACTCCTGGCTCCGTTCTCCGTTTCTCCTCTTCTCCTCCTGCGCATTCTTGTATCCCGGTTGCCGCGGTCTCAGGGCAGCCGCCATGGTCGCCGTTCCACCACCTCCGGCACAGAGGGCAAGCCTCTGGCCCTGAGGAACCTGCCCGTTCCTCTCGGCCGTCCGAGGGTTCCTCTCTATCCTCATGTCCCTACAGGACAGGGTAGGTCCAATGACCTACTGGCGGGGGCTTGGCAGACGGGGTTTTCGTGGGGCTCCGAAGAACCCGCTAATTCCCCATCTGTATCCCCGCGGCGCCAATCAGAAGTCCTCTCCCCCTTTTTCTGTATCTCTCTATATCTCTTTCTGTGTCTCTCTCTGTCCCTCTCCCTATCTTCCCCTCTCTCCCCACTCTATCTCTCCCCCTCTCCTCTCTCCCCTTCTGTGTGTCTCTCTCTCCCTCTGTATCTCTCCCCCCTATCTTCCCCTCTCTCCCACTCTCTCTATCACTCTGTATGATATCTCTCTATCTCTCTCCGTCTCTGTGTGTGTGTGTGTGTGTGTGTGTCTGAAAGCTGCGGCTGGACCAAGCCAGCATGCGTGGGGTGGGTAGCCGCTTGCTAAAGGAGGGTCTCCCCATGGTTGCACACCCTCCCGGCCCCACCACACCACCACCAAGAGGAGAAGGAGGGTGAGGAGAAAGAGGAGCCTTAGTGCTGGAGTGAAGCAGCCCTGGGCCTGCCTTTGTGCCACATTTGCATGTAAGGCAGCCTTCGCTTCCTGCCCCTTCGGACTGGGGCTCACACCCTCCGCACTCGACCGAAGAGCTGCCGGGGGGGTGACACGGCAAGGCGATGGCCGGAGCCCTAGTGCAGGAGAGAAGCCACGTCCTGTTGCATCTTGTTAAGATCCTCCTTAAGCGAGCGGCCACCCACTCCATGCATGCCTTTGTTGCGCTTTGGCACTCGCTTGAGAAGGGTCTCCCCACGTATGCATACCCTCCCAGTCCCACCACAGCTGGCCAGGGGGTCACGAGAGGAGAAGGGTCACCTGAAGGGAAGCTCAGCCAGCCCAGATTTTGAAGAAGAAATAAAAGGAGTAGCAAGGAGCCCCAAGGAGAGCTTGCTGGCTTGGCCCAGCTGTGATTTTCCGAGAGAGAAAGAAGAGATTCAGAGACATAGAGCAAGAGAGATACACAGAGAGAAAGAGAGAGACATAGAGAGGGGGATACCGGCTGATGGGTGAGCGTCTTTGATGAGGACTTTCTCTGAGCCTGACCCCCGGGATGGGTGTGTGAGGTTCAGCGAGGCCAGCTCCCTTTTCCTGCTGCCCTGCACTTCTTAAAGCCATGGCTGGGTGCTGCTGGCCCTTCACCCTTCCGAAGTCCCCTCCTCCCAGATCCTATTCCCACTCCGCCAGCCCTCGTGTTAGCGAGGCCAGCGTCGGTCATGGCTGGGCCAGGCCAGTGTCTCAGGGCAGAGAGCAGGTTGCACATCTCCCCAAGTGACCGAGGCACGCCCAGCACCAACAAGGGCCAGAAGAAGCTCCACAAGAGTGAGATGCCAGAGAATCAGCCCCGGCTGCTTCTCCATCCCTCACCATCACCCTTACCTTCTCAGGCCAGGCGAGAGAGAGAGGAGGGTGAGGGATGAGGCCAGCCAGTGATGGGATAGGGAGCTACAGCAGAGCTCTGGAGCCGCGGGTTGCCGATACCTGGTCTAGGTTTTTAACACATAATTTAAAATGGAAATTCATGAAAGAATAAGCAATATGTTTTTCTTAGTTTTGGTGCTTTTAAAAAGTCATTGATTCTAAGTCAATCTGTATTAAGAAAACTGCATCTATTACTGAGTTTTCCTTCATAAGTTTTTCAGATCCATTACAAAAAGACAACATTGTTTTGTTACATCTTAATTGTTTTATATGGAGTAGTGCAGTGTTTTTTAACCTTGGCGACTTTAAGATGTATGGACTTCAACTCCCAAAATTCAAATGCTGGCTGGGGAATTCTGAAGTTGAAGTCTACGCAATAGTTGAGAAACACTGGAGTAGTCTTTAGTTCTCATAATTTTCTTTATATAACACAGAATTGTGAACCTCTCAGAGACATTTGCTGAGATGGGTGGCTATAGAAATCAAATAGATAGATTAGATAGATGATAGCCAGCCAGCCAGCCAGCCAGACAGACAGACAGACAGATCTTTAAACAAGTTTTCTTGAAACTTACAGAGTTTGTAAACTGGATAGTCCCCGGAAGGCACAATCTGCAATGTAGCTGACTTTGTTGTTCCCGATAGCTAGCCTTACCAGTAGGCTTAAACCAACAAAATTTGAATCTTCTAGTTTTGCTAAATTATTGTAAGTTAAATCACTGCAAATTTAAAAAAAATGAGGGCGAATGTTGTTTTAAATCAGCATAAACAAAACATTCAAGCTAAGAATATAACTTCTTAATTAGTTTCAGAATAATTTATTTTTAATTTCAAGTTTGTGGCTTATTTTCCATGACATGTAATATTATTGCAGAATTAGTTTCTATTATTTGAAATTACCATAACAAAGTCCAAGTGTTACTGGTACAAAGAAACATAATTGGCTTCAGGTTCTTACAATAAAGCATCAGTGAATTCAGCACATGCACATAAAAGCAAATGCACTGCCATTATGTAAAGTGTTTCTTTCAGTCATACTTTGGCCTGCACCCTACTTTTATAACAGAGGAGAGCTAAACATACACACACACATACAACATACACTACTCACAGCTCTCTGAGTTTTTGGCAAAACTCCCAGGCATCAGGTCTGATCCTGTTGATTGCATTTTGGCTAAGATGAAGCTGCTCTAACATCAACAAGCCATAAAGCCAGCCTTTGGAAATCTCTGTTAGGTTGTTATAATCCAGCTGCCTAAGAATACAAAATGAAAAACCAATTTATAGCTGCAAGCTTTAACAATTTAAAAGATATCAAGTATCTTTCTCATAAAAACAAGCTAGAAAAAAATTATCATTTTGTATTTTGTACATAAATATTTTGTGAACAAATTAGTCCTCAAACACAATGAATTGTAATACTCAGAATGGTTGTTTCTTGAAAACCATGAAAACATGCACTTACAGAATTTCCATGTTACTTAATCCCCAAAAAGCTCCATCCATGAGCCAAACAAGCCCATTTTTCTGTATTTTTAATGATTTCAAAGAAGGCAGTCCTTGAAAAGTAAGTCCATCTATTTTTTTAATTCTGTTACGGCTCATCTCTCTGAAGGGAGAAAAATATTCCATGTTATTGTAGGTAAATTCAAGTTTCTAAGCACTGTGTACGTGTGTGGCCCTGTCTTTATATGTTTAACAGAAGTACAAAACATTCTTTTTCAACTAGACTTCTCTTAACAAAAATATATTAAACTCTAAGGCATGACAATGCCAATAATTTTGAATACCTTTGAAGTCTATTTTATTTTATTTTTTAAAAAAACTTGAAAATTATGTTGCCAGGAATTCAGGGGATTAAGTTAATATTTTAGGAAGTTATTTGCTATCCATGGGTGTGTGCATCTGTGTGTATTTGGTGCTACTTCTGATATTCTCTTATGGAACGTTTAAAACGTTGGTTAAATTTGCTGTACATGACATCTTTTTTGGCACCTTAATTTTTTAAACTATGTTCTATATGAATCTTTTCTGTCACTTCTATGATTGTTATTCCTTTTACCCATGCAAACTCTGGAGCAGTTTTTTCTTTCCCCACATCTCAAATCTTCTGTAATTTAAAATTTAACTAATAAATTATTACAAGCAATAAAAAAGAATAATTCAGAAAGTACATGCTAGATTTACTGTGATGCAGCCTCTCTTTAAGCTTTTGTAGTGACTCTTATGAACCCCCTCAAATATTAAACTGTTAGCCTTTTACATATTCAGGTTCTTGATATTTTTATTTATTTATTTATTTCTATCCAACCTTTATTATTTTTATAAATAACTCAAGGAGGCAAACATATCCAACACATCTTCCTCTACCACAACAACAGCCTTATGAGATGGGTTTTAATAATGATAGAAACATAAGTCCAGTTCTTCTGAAATAGTCACTTATATATTTCCAGGCATTGTTATCATACCTAATTAAAGTTTTAATTAAACTTTCAGTAATTTACTATGTGTCCTACTCAGATTATTTCTGAGTTCCATCTGTGAATGTGCTCCCATCTGAGACCCCACTACTTCTGTTTATTAACTTTTTTATTCTGTACTACACAGCTACTTATCATCTCTTTGAGAGGCAAGTATTTCTTTGTGTTTCTAATATCTGACATTTCTCTACTAATTTTCGCACATTGCAGTTTACACATTCAGTATTTTTATCAGTTTTTCACTTTACTTTTCTTAACAAAAGTAATCAGTCATCAAGGAGATTACTTTAGTCTGGGAATGGGATAGTGAATGATGAGGGTTCAGCCATGTGGGGAAGAACAAGTAGCTTCTTTCTTGGTGCAGCCAGCTTTTTACAATGTACCCTATCAATATTTTTAGTGATTTACTAACAATGAGAGAAAAGAATCTAAAGAGAATGTCTTATTTTCCTTCTATATACAGTAACACTATAAACTAGTGATCACCAACTGGTGGTCGTGGACCACTGGTGGTCCGCGAGAAAATTTTGGTGGTCCACAGAAAAATTATTTGCATTTTTTATATTGCACTAAATCAGGGGTCCTCAAACTACGGCCCCTGGGTCGGATACGTGCAATGAATGTTTGTGTTGCTGCAGCGTCTCCCCGCTTTGGGATCTTTTTGTGTGGGTCAGAGGGGGACAGAAATTCTGACTCGGGGTCTGCTTCAGCCTCCTGGTGCGGGGCTTTGGGTGAAGGCTGGAGGGAAATGCACTGGTAGCGAAGAGCCAGAGGGCCTTGTTCCAGTGGGACTGCATCATGGCCTGGAACTGGCTGACTATCTCAGCCCACTGAGCCTCCAGGTGCCGGTACCTGGCCTTACATTCCTGCAGGTCTTCCCTCTACTTGGAAAGCCTATGCTTGTAGTTCTCAGTGAGGTGCTTCTGCTGACCCTCCTTCTTGGTCAGATCCAATTTGAACTGAGCTGTTTTGCCAACTCTTTCTCATGGTGGCTGCTTGGCTCCAACAACTGCTTCCTGTTGGAGCCCTAAGGAGCCCGTGCAGGCAGGGGAGGAGGGGTGGGAGGGGAGGGGCAAGTAGAGGCAGGTGAGGCACCTGACACGAGTGACATCAACTTGGCCACACCCATCCAGTCACATGACCACTTAGCCATGCTCACCCAGCCAGTCATTAGGCAGATTATATTAGTTGTCCGCGGGATTTATAATTATGAATTTAGTGGTGCCTGAGGTCCGAAAGGTATTACAAGTATTTTATTCAGGCAATGCAAACAAAATAAATTAATATGAAATATGAAAATTTCTACCAAGGAGCCTTGGTAGTACAGTGGTTTAATGCACCCTGTTATTAACACAGCTGCCTGCAATTTCTGCAGGTTCGAATCTTACCAGGCTCAAGGTTGACTCAGCCTTCCATCCTTTCTAAGGTAGGTTAAATGAGGACCCAGTTTGTGGGGGCAATAAGTTGACTTTGTATAAATATACAAAAGTATGAAGGCTATTGCTTAACGCATTGTAAGCCGCCCTGAGTCTCCGGAGAAGGGTGGCATATAAATCAAATTTTTAAAAAAATTAAAAAAAAATTCAGAAAGTGGGGCGAGAATTGTGTTTTTGTTGCATCTAAATTTGTCCTGAGTTTATGTGATTGCTAATAGGGCTAATGCTCAACCACTGAAGGAAGCCTGCAAAAATCACTGAAAGGAACAAGGCAGTTGGAGGATGTACTCACAGATGTTGGAGATGGGGAAGTTTAAACATCTTCTGTGGAATGGTTGAAATGCGGTTTTTGTTCAGCTTCAAGACTTGAAGTTTATTAGCCAAGTTGTCAAAAATGCCTGGTTCCAGTGAAACTATCCGATTGTTGCTAATGTGGCTGGGAAAGAAGTGCAGAATAACATATCTGAAAATGTTTAAATTCAGTACTCAAATCCTAGTCATCTGCTGTTTACTCATCTTAATCTTCATTTTAAAAGTCCTTGTCCTATCAGAGGATAAGTATCACTTTGAACAGTTCTTAAAAGTCAGAGAATCCCCCACATTGATTCCAAAGAAATATAATTTACAATTTACATTAATCCTGAAATGACAGTAATTTAAAAATATTCTAAATTTTAAATATTTTAAAAATATTACATTGAAAGATGTGATTCTTTTTCACAAAAGCGTCACAAATACCTATTGTTTTATTATTTAAATATTGACTCAATTAACAGAACACTAAGAATACTTTGTCAGATAATTGTCTCTGCCTTTAAAAAAAGTATCATAATTAGGATGAAAAGGATTAATGAATGAATCAGTTGGTACAGTCAACGAAGTCCAGTGAATTTTCGTTTGATTAAAGTGATGGTTCTCTCTTGAGATTCTGACTGCTGTCCTATACAAGTTGTAATGGACATTCCTGACTCTAAATTGTAGGCATTATGTTCACCACTACTTAGTTTGAAGCTATGAGAACAGACTTCTATACAAATATAACATCCACTGTGCATAGAGTGATGATAACATATTAAGAGCCTGGTGGCGCAGCAGACTAATAGCCTGTTATTAACATTCAGCTGCCTGCAATTACTGCAAGTTCGAATCTCCCCAGGCTCAACGTTGACTCAGCCTTCCATCGTTTCTAAGGTAGGTAAATTGAGGACCCAGTTTGTGGGGGCAATAAGCTGACTTTGTATAAATATACAAAAGTATGAAGGCTATTGCTTAACGCATTGTAAGCCGCCCTGAGTCTCTGGAGAAGGGCGGCATATAAATCAAATTAAAAAAAAAAACATGAACAAAAAGCAAAATCTGCTCAAAGAACTATACCCCCCCAATTATCTTAATAATAGAGTCATGTGAATATGTGTTATTATTTTGAATTTGATATTCAATCAATTCTAGCCAGGAACTGGATAGCACAATAGAAAATTAACAAGTTCCAAAAGTACACTGGTCTGTATGGGCATTTTTAACCTATTTTCTTTAAGGCCAGATGTTAGGAGCAAAAAAAGAAAAAGAAAAAATCCCAGTCGGGAATCCATATCCATAGAGCTTTTTGTGAATCACTATGAACCTCTTCAGATGCCAGAGTTCCCTGATTACATTAATGGATTGAAAAGGTTTTTTAAAAGAAAATTTTGGATGAAATGAAAGCTTGAACTTAACTTACAGTTTCTTGAGCACCAGTGGAGGAAATGACCCCATCTCAAGCACAGAAATATTGTTGTTGCTGAGATCTAAAGTTTCGAGGGATTGAAATAGTTTCAGTTCTTCAGGAAGAATGTTCATGATCTTGTTATTTATCCTGAATTAAAAATTAGCAATCACATTAAAAACAACTTCTGGACCACTGACAAGCTTTATATTTCCCAATAGTTTAGTTAAATCATATACACAGGCATGCATAGGATCACCATCATACTTAATACTTAAAATACTTAAAATTACTAAGTACCAAATAAAGATCTAAAAGTTTTGAAATGGAAGAAGAGAAAGGGAGGAATGCAAGCAAAAGAAGTATCATAAAATAATTTTGAACTCTGAATCAGAGTTCACTAAAAGACTTATAGACAATAAAATTAAAGCCATTTTATAAGCCGCAAGTGCTGTACATGAACAGAAAAGAGAATCTACCTGTTCCCAGCCACAATGTTAACACATTACAATTAAACAAAAGTTAGAGAAAGTGAGAGGAAAGAAAACATTTTCTTCCAATAAAAACAGGGGAGAAAAGAACAAGAACTAAAAGAATAAATAGAAATTGAAAGTATTATGGTAATCAAAGAAATAAGATTTCTCTTTTTTGAAGTTACCCAGTGATGAAGCAAATCAAAAATTTAAAAGCCCAGTTACAAAAACAACTGAGAAAAGAGGTAGAATGATATGAAATAGTACAAGAAAGACCAAATCAAATTAAAACTGAAGATAGAACAAATGACGGACAAAGGGGCTATGAGGAAATAGGAGGGATGACCAGAAGATGAATCTAAAGAACAGAGTGATATGTAAGGAGAAAATCAAGGAGAAAACCTAAAAAAGAAAGTTTATCTAATAAACAAGAGGAAATCATTTATTCCATAATAATATCAATAATATCAATATACATAGTTGAATTAAATTCGGTTGATATATTTTAAATATGTTATGAATTTGTGAGACAATCAAGAAGAGTATCACCACAATTGCGATGAGAAACAGCCAACAGAAGAAAACAGGCTTTTGATTATAGCATTTACATGATATAAAAATATCGGAATTGTGTATTTCTGCTACAGTGTTTGCAGATATCATATTCTAAATTAAATACAATTATTTGGGAAAAAGAAATGAGTCAGAATTTCCTGAGGATTACTCCAGCAAAGGAAATTATCTTCTCTATTTCTGAACTTTCAGTTCAGAGTACTGATATTAGATATCTGGTTAACTAATATTGAAATATCCTATCCTTCTTCATAACTCTATAAAGTGACTTCCGCTCTTCGAGGAAAATTACAGAAAATTGATCTCACTGCAGATAACAGTGTGCAGGCAACAAAAGTGCAGTTCCACATCATTACAGAGAGGTTTTTAATGTCTCTACCACAATTGTACATTATGTCAAGACATTTGATTCTAATTACAGAATGATTATAGTTTTCAGGTCCAAAATTAAGAAATAGGCGGTCCTTATTGTTATAAAGGTAATTCCAGATTTTAGAGGATGCTAACATTGCTTGAGTGGGTTTTCTCCTATGTTAATCCTTGCCTAGCTTTGTATCAGATAGCTACAAGCTGAAACAGTATCCTAGGAAGAAACCAGAAAGGAGGATAAATTTAGAATACCAGTTTGTAGACTCCACTGTAATGAAATGTATGGATGGCATTGGGGGACGAGGAAAAGAGATCTGCCTAGGAAACAATCGAGAGGAGAGAGAGAATCCAAGGACTTAATAGTCAGAAAAGAAATTTAGGAATGACCCACCCTAATTGATTAAATGGTTAGAAGTGGTGGTGGGATGTTCAGATTGGCAATATTCTAATAATGTAGCCCTACAATAAAGTAGATTTAACTCACTGTGTCATGTTTCCTGTCTGGTGTACCTGGGGCTAGGGCTGATATCAATTGAGCAAAATGAAATTATGAAAAAGTTGTTCTAATTATCTAAACTTGGATGTTTAGATGTCCGGTTGATGGGAAATGTGACTAATAAGCGTTTTGATAAATCAAGTAAATATATAATTGGCTCTGAACTTGATGAGGAATTAGAATGGGAAATTGTCCAAATACTTCTGCTAACATAAGTTTTTCTGTTAGGCAACTGCTGAGCAAAAGGAACTTAAAGAGCAGAAACTTAACATGCATATTTTTGTCTGTCTGTCCTTCCTTAGCTATTTAAAAATTGTATCATTTGAAATATTCTGAATACATCAATTTAGCACTCATTCAGAACAAGCTGTTTCTAGTTAAAATAAGATGTCTGGCAAACATAGTGTCTAAAAATGCATTAAAAGGAAGTTGTAAGACTGTTATTAATTACCACTCACAAATTTTTTTTGACACACACATAAACACAAAACAGAAGTTGTGGATTAACTGGTCACAGCAGATGAGAAAACAAGAAATGCTGTTTTTTTATGCTCAGATATTGTTCTCAATCAGCATCAACTTTCAGTCTTGCTTAGGTCTAGTACTGAGCCATTAACTTTTAATTCTTGGCTAGAAAGATTTACTTAAACAAAATATCTTTAAAAAATAACAATGTGTTAGATTTATTAGCAATCAAGACAAGAAGAGATCACACGTTTATCAGGCCTTAATAAATTGATTACTAACAAGCCATTAACTGCCAATGACTAAGTGCCAAATAAAATTTTCCTTGCTGCAAAAGTATAACCTCGACCAGCAATTTCCTGAACTCTATGGCTCCTGATTTGCAATGTGAAAAACATTCAGTTAAGCTAACAGAACATACACTCAGTTTTTGGGTCATCACTGTTTCATAAAACTGGTTTTTTCCACAACTAGTTGGATAAGGTTGCTTGTATCATGAGGTTTAGTGGTTAAGTAATGACTGCAAGTAATTCCACCCTCAAATTAGATTAACGGCCTAGCAAATTACTTGAGGCAGTCTGTTTTATAGACAACCTCCATTAGAGTTTTATATGGGACTGCAAGGAGAGAACAGCAGATGAGACATTAATGATTTAATTGCATTTCAATGTAGTCCAGAGACACTCTCAATAGTTAAGACATGAAACATTTTGTTGGCTGCTATCTGAAAAGGGGCCTGTCTTCTCAGGAAAACATTACTATATGGAGCAGATTGATCTACCAGTAGTTGGTTTTCAGATCTCAGGCACATTGTTTGAGTGCAATTAAGTGCTCAGTCATAGCCACTGCGACATGGGTGTACACATAAAAAACAGAACTGCTGTATTTTTTGATGATTCATTACTCATTAACATCTCTTAAACAGTGATAGCCAAGTTGATCCATAAGACTCCCACACACACCAAATTCTTCATTACAGCAATATTTGTATTAAGATCAACCAAAATAGTGCATATTTTTGAAGTTACAAAAAGAGGGATGAAGAAAAATCAAAATTGCAATAATGTATTTGAGTCACAAACTCTGCAAACTCAATCTCAAAATTGTGATTTTGGCAGACCAAGGACATTAGGTAGTAATAAGATTGTTGAAATCAGATTACTTTTTACATTCTGAATGCCATCAATCCCCAATATTTTTGATTTAATTTTCAGTTGCCCTATCTCTATTAAAGCATTTGGGAATGGCATTACTTACATAACTTTTTTTTAATTTGAACTATTTGGGTGATTAATTTAGACTAACCTCCAAAAGGGAAGGGAAGTTTCGGAAGTTTCAGAATAGAAAGTTAGAAAGTTGAACACCTTTCATATGCGCTGTCTCCAATGAATTCTTGGCATCACCTAACAGGACAAAGTTCCAAATAGTGCAGTCTTGGAACGTGCTGGAATTTCTAGCATGTATACACTATTGAAACAGCAACGTCTATGCTGGCTGGGGCATGTCATGGGAATGGCTGATGGTCGGATTCCGAAAGATCTCCTGTATGGAGAATTAGTGCAGGGAAAGAGCCTCAGAGGGAGACCACAGCTGCGATATAAGGATATCTGCAAGAGGGACCTAAAGGCCCTGGGAATGGACATTAACAACTGGGAAACCTTGACCTCCGATCGTTCAGCTTAGAGGCTAAAGACGCAGTATGGCCTTCTCCAATTCGAAGAGACACTTGTTCGGCAGGCTGAGGCAAAGAGACAGTCCCGGAACCAGCGACATCTGGGGGCTGGGCAGGGGACAGAATGTATCTGCCCTCAGTGTGGAAGGGATTGCCACTCTCGAATTGGCCTTTTTAGTCACACTAGATGCTGTTTTAGGACCTCTTTTTCAGAGCACGATACCATAGTCTCTTGAGACTGAAGGATGCCAATGAAATAAAACATTTGCCAAGTCAACTTAAGCTATTTTATATTTAGAAATCACCCCTATGTAAAAATGCTTACAAAGTGATCTTCCCAGCAAATATAATTTAATTTAGAACAAATGAAGCAAAACAAAACCTCTCCACCTAAGCTGGCATTGATTGATTGACTATAGGTTTTTAGTGTAACATTTTTGCAATGTCTGAAGTTTCAACATTGTCCACTAAACAGGTCTTCCTCCAATTTATACAAGAACTTTCTTTCTGCAAATTCTATGTAATTCTATTGAGATATTTTAAACAATTAAGTGAGGGAGGGTTGCATCTCCTTCAAATAAGCCTACCCACATAATGACTATAGTAGGAAAGGGCAGTGTAGAAATAAAGGATTGCAGCCTTGGAGGACAGGCTAGATGGAAATCATCATGGAGCATTTCCATTTTTTTTTTGAATTTTTTTTTTTTTTTAAACAAAACATAAAACATAAATCCATCATCCATTACAATTGCAAACAGTGTGTCGGTCGGTTACAAGTCTTTTGTGCTTCATCCCCATATTCAAAATTTACTAATTATCTAATTTCTCATATTATCAAACAAATAAGTATCCTCATTTATCATTTATTTAACTATGGCTTTACCGTTTCATAAAAATTATTTTCAAATATTATAGCATTCATTTCATCTTTCATATTTCATTTCCATGTTTTATTATCTAGCCATTGATAAAATAAATCCCGTATCTTATAATATTGTTTATCTTCTTGTTCTCTAATTTCAAATGTCAATTTACTCATTTCAGCCCATTCCATGATTTTCTTAATAACTTCGTCTTGCGTTGGTACTTTCTCATTTTTCCA